AAATGTCAGCTTGTCCATATTAGCAGGAAGCAGAGAAAAAAATGCATATTATTTAATAGGGAGAGCGAGTTGCAGAGATCTGTCTGTCCTGGTAAATGAATTGCAAAATGTTGGTAAGGTGATACTACAAATTATTAAGAGGTCAAATGGAATGTTGCATTTTGTAGAGGGAATGGAGTATAAAAATAGCTATGTTTTCTCCATTTTTAAAGAGCATTAGTGAGACAATGTCTGGAATGCTCTGTACAGTTTTGGATCCTTATTTAAGAAAGGTTATAAATGCATTAGAGGCACTCCAAAACCTTGCATTAGAGGCAGTTCAGAGAACGCTCACAATGGATTCCTGGGATGGGCGGGGTTACCTTATGAGAGAGGCTGGGCAAGTTAGGCCTGTATCCATTGGAGTTTAGAAGAATAGAGTCAAACTTACAGAAAGATATGACATACAAACAAAAATAGAATTTACTGGAGAAATTCAGCAGGTTTGGCAGCATCTGTAAAGAGAAAACAACATTCATGTTCTCATGTCCACCCCTCAAAGAAGGATCTTTCTCTTCACAGGTACTGCCAGATGCTGAGCTTCTCCAGGAATCCTGTTTTTGTTTGTTTTAGATCTCCAGCATCCACAGTATTTTATTCTATTTTATTAAAACATATATGATGCTGAGGGGATTGAGAGGACGGATGCTGAAAGGATGTTTTGTCTTGTGGCTGGGAACTATGCAGCAGTCTTCAAATAAAAGTTTGCCTCTGAAGACAGAGATGAAGACAGTTTTTGGAACTTTGTAGCCAAGAGAACAGTGGAGGTCGAGGCTGAGGTAGATGAGGTAGATGGACAGACAAGGATGTTAAAGCTTATCTGAGTTAAGTCTGAACATGGAGTTAAGGCCTTAGTCGGATCAGCCATGACCCTTATTGAATGGCTGAGCAAAGGACCTTCACTTGACCTTCTACTACTCCCAGTCTGAATGTTCATATGCTTCTGATAAAAAGGATTCTTCTAGGAGTTGAACAAAGGTCCAGTATACATTATTATTATAGAGTTTGAAGTGAGGTGTGTGATGATTTGCAGCATTTCATAATTCACGATTGCCAGAATTGTGGCACATTGGAGATCCCCATGTATGCTGTCCTGCCTCCAAAGGAGGGAGATCAAGTCACGTGTACAAGAGTGCTTGTCTGCCATCTTTTAGAATTTTGGCAAGTATTCTGCCTGGGTCAGCTCCCTTGGTTCTGAGTCTACCAATAACCTTTTCAACTTCATTTCGGGTTGAGGTTGTGCATGAAGTAGTGACAGATTGCATACTCTAGATGTGGTGAAGGACTTTTCAGATAAGGACTGAGTCTTGGACGAGGAGATCTTCGAACAGCCTCTCTGTCCTTGATGTTCACCACTCCGTCCTTAGCACTCAGTAGGTGGTTTGACCATGGTGAAGAATCTACACATGTCATAGCTGTTCACGAGGTTGGATTTGCTGCACTCTTTCTGTCTACTATCTGTTCTGCACATCGTGGGATTTTGTTGGAACTGGACCTTCATTTATCTATACACCTCTTTCTTTCCCTCATGTTTTGATGGTGTGTCCAGTTCAGGAACTCCTTATGCCTGAGGGTTAATAGCTCCTAGATCTCCTAGTCATGCTCGTCAAACTGGTTTTGATGTTTTCTGGTAGAGGAAGCTTACGTCTCCTTGCAAGTGCTGTTTATTTTAGATTTTGCATTGTCTGACTTGATCTTTCTCAGCAGGTTCCATGAGTCCATCAAAGTTAAATTTCCTGTGGAGATGCTTCTGCAGCCACTGCCAATTTTGGGCCAGGAGACGGAGGACTGGATTAGTGAAGCTCAGTCCAGCAGTTACCACCTCCCATCATGGTGCGGGTGATGGGAATATTCTTACGGCCCATTGTTCATAGTTGAGCAGATGCCAGTGTCTGAAGTGAGGGTGTTGTCATGAGCTTTTGCATTAGCCTCTCTGAAACAAAAAGCTTTTAGCTGTGACAAGGTCATACTCTGGGTATTTTGCCAGGAGGCGAGTACTCTGTAGCTGATAGCATTTCCTACACCTTGCTTGGCCCCTGCCCCTTTCCAGATGTTTGTATCCCTTTTAACTCTGGCTTTGAAATCACCAAGGGAGTATCAGCTCACCTTGCTTTGCGTCACAGGATAATTGATCAAAGCTAGAGTAAAATGCATCTTTGGCCTCATTTGTTGTTGCTGGGGTTGAGATTCAGTCATTGACTGTGGTTTATTGCTTCTAGGTGACTCAAAGCATCATGAGGCACTTGTTTCTCCCACAGAGGCTCACTGAAATGATCCACTAGTTTGTTTTTCCTGGGGGTGGCATCCCAATGGGGTTGGAGGAGTTCTTCCAGAAGAACGTGTATAAACTATCTTCTCTTGCCAGTTGTGTCTCGGTCAGGATACCAATGTCATTGCCAGAGCTCAGTGCTGTCACTGCTGGGGTCATCTCTAAAGGGTTCTGACATCCCAAATTTAATTTGGAGAGAATCAAAGGTGCCTGTGTGTGAAATAATCTCATGTGGGATGGCTGTTACCCTGCCACTAGTTTGACGAGGCAAGGAATTTGGCCAGTGGCAGATATAACCAAGGTGATTGGAGACCGGGGATTACTATAGAAACGTAGAAGATAGGAGCAGGAGGAGGCCATTTGGCCCTTTGAGCCTGCTCTGCCATTCTTGGCTGATCATCCAACTACATAGCCTAATCCTGCTTTCTCCCCATAACCGTTGATCCCATTCACCCCAAGTGCTATATCTAGTCGTCTCTTGAATACATTTAATGTTTTGGCATCAACTACTTCCTGTGGTAATGAATTCCACAGGCTCACCACTCTTCTGGTGAAGAAATGTCTCCTCATCTCCATTCAAAATCGTCTACCCCGAATCCTCATACTGTGACCCCTGGTTCTGGACACACCCACTATCAGGAACATCCTCCCTGCATCTACCATGTCTAGTCCTGTTTGAATTTTATAAGTCTGTATGAGATTACACCCTCATTTGTCTGAATTCCAGCAAAAACAATCCCAACCCAGTCAATCTTTCCTCATACGTCAGACCTGCCATCCCCAGAATCAGCCTGGTAAACCTTTGCTGCACTCCCTCGAGAGCAAGAGCATCCTTCCTCAGAAAAGGAGGCCAAAACTGTACACATTATTCTAGGTGTGGTCTCAACAAGGCCCTGTATAACTGCAACAACACATCCCTGCTCCTATACTCGAAACCTCTCGCAATGAAGGCCAACACACCATTTGCCTTCTTTACCCCCTGCTGCACCTGCATGCTTACCTTCAGCAACTGGTGCACAAGGACGCTCAGGTCCCACTGCACACTCCCCTCTCCCAATATACAGCCATTCAGGTAGCAATCTGCCTTCTTGTTTTGGTGGGCATCCCTTCCCCTGATGTGTTATCTACTGGTCCTGCTCTCGCTGCCTGTGTGCCAATCTTATCACTGCTGTTGGTCTCAATCTTACCATTTACCCCTGGCTGTACTCTCACTGTCTCTGCAGCCCATTTATCCCCACTGCGCCCTCAATTTGACTCATATATAACAGTCAAAGGAAATTAGATATGCCTTAGTATTTTTCATTCACAGATTCTATGCTCCTTAAAATAAAAACTGAAAGAACTGTGAATGCTGTAAAGCAGGAACAAAACCAAAGTTGCTGGAAAAGCTCATTAGGTCTGGCAGCATCTGTGAAGGAAAAAACAGAACCAAGTTCTGAGAAAGGGTCACCAGATCCGAAACATGAACCATTTTTCCCTTCACAGATGCTGCCAGACCTGCTGGGCTTTTCCAGCAACTTTGTTATTATTTATGCTCCCTAAAATAATTCCTTGTCATGAGTCACTGAAAAACCCAAGGACTTCATCAAAAGCTGTGTAAATGCAAATTCTTGCCTGCTTTTTCCTCTGGAAAGGATGTAGAATTACATACAATAGGAAGAAAGGAAACAAGAAATAATCTTGGCACAGTGAGCAAGATGGTTCATAACACTGCTAGTTAATTATTTGGAAGATTTAATAAAATCCTAAACCCTAGGGGTAGCATCTCCTAGAACTTGGTAATAAATACAGTTTCTCCCAATCATTTGCAAATCCTTTGTAATATCTAATGACATTAAATTGCAGTGTCTTTTTGCAGCAATAATGTGCTCAATGTGGGCAAGAAGCTCAATAAAGTATCCCCCATTGCATTGTCATAAACTTGTCCATCTCTTCTGCCAGCCAGTCAGGTAGTACCAAATTCTAGGCTGTTTTGTGCTGTGAACCCGTGTACAGCAGCAGCAGGATTAAAATAACCAATTTTTAATATTTCCCACGCACTGCACAAATGGTCAAGGCATTGACTAGCTGATCTCTACAGACAAAAAAAAGTTCTTAGGTTCAAATTGTGGTTTGCACTGTGCTAGCTAATCACAATAAAATTGGAAACATGAGTTACATGTTATTCCTAATTGCTATCTGACAACTAGGAGGTGGATAAGTGAGGATTGAAATGGCTCAGTCATGATCCATGCAAGCACCCAAGCTCAACTGTAAAGAATGGACACACGTAAGACACAATGCCTTCAGAAAAATCAGAAAAGAAATAGAATGAAACAGTTTTGGATTCTTTTTATTGAAAGCTTACAGGCAACTTAGAAATGATTCTTGTATCAATTTCTGCATTTCTGCATTAAATAATCCCCTTCTCCTCCAGCACAATTTATAAAGCATTGGTTGAGTTATTTGGGACATAAAATGAGGCAAGTACGACTTTTAATATTCCAAGTGTCAACTTTACTGTCAATATTATGCTAGGAATCAATGCCAACATCTTTGACATCTAAACTGATACCGAGACTGTGTGTTTGTGTGTCTGCACCTAAGTTCTAATAACAGTTATAAATATGTTTATGCTTTATTGCTAAGGTGATAGGGAAGGAAGGATATGTCTTTATACACAATCTCTCTAAGAACAATTTTCGTTTTACAGCTGGAAAGTTACTTATAGCTCCTTTGATGCTGGTGTTGGTGGTAGTACTAGGAGCCATAACATTTGTAGTAGGTAAGTCACGCAGCCTTTCTTTTGTAACTTCATTGCTGTTAATACTGAAATAATATTTTAGTAAATGTTCTGGAATTTCAGTGAAGCACTACAAATGAGAAGTGTTTTTTCTTTGCAAATGTACTCCTTCAAAGACACTTATCAGATTTTTGTTTTCTGAATTTGAATTACTGTTGTTGTGTAGCCTGAAGTTGCATTTGTACATGCTTATTAAATCAAATTCCAGTCATTTGGAGGATGAAAAGGAAACTCGGATGGAAATGACTGACAGCACTGTAGAGAACCTACAGCATGACAAGAATCTGTTTCAGGCAGCTGATAGCAGCTGACTGACTGGTTCAGGGAGGAGGCTTTGGAAGTGACAATTATCAGACAGTGCAGATAGTGCTGCAGAGATAACCAATAAGGTCTGTAAAGTTCTTGAGGATAGCGGCGGGGAGCGGGGGGCACTCCTGCTCCTCTTGGCTCCACAGAACAGTTTAATTGTCCAGAGATGACTCTGTTGAATGTGCCCCATTCCTATCCAACATCTTTGCAAGAAATTTTATAGAGGGACAGTTTGGAAATTGGGCCCCCCCCCCCATAATATATTTATTGTGTCTAGTATCTGTTTGCCTGGATGCCTAAAAGTCAACCATCCCATTGATAGATTGATATACTTGTTAAACTGAGAAGTTTACAGAACAAATACCGACTTTACCAACACATGCAGACAGTTGAAGAATGCTACGTTGCTCTCAAACTTGGGTCATTTCTTTGAATAAATGATTACTATGGAAAACATACTTTATTCTATGTTGTCAATTGGTGAAGAGGTTAGTGCTCTTATTCAGAACAGTTCTTGGCTTATCTTGTCCTGAATTGTCAGGGTTTTCCTTAAAGCTCTTCTACATATTTTGCAAAATCTTGAGCAATATTTCTACTGCAAACCAGAAATAACTGCATCAAAGATTCTCAAGTGCTCATGATTCTTGCATTCAAGCCTGATTTTATGCAAGGTACTTTTTGTATAGCCAGGCTCCAAAAATATATTCAAAAAGACTAAAGAGATTTAAAACTGCTAAGAACTGGTATTGACTTCTTAAAGTCTTTCCACAACCAACATCAGTTCTGGATAATTTTGAACAGGATATTCTACAGTTGCTTTAAGTGACTTCCTGTTGTTAACAACAATTTTCATGCCTAGTCTTGTTTTAAAGTGAGTTTTTTATGTAAACCATAGATTTCATGGTACAAGCCATCTGAATGCAGTTTGTTTGATTTTCAGTTGTGGAAATCTGTAAACTAGAGAATGAAATAAACGATTGCACAATGTCTACACTTGAAATAGAGAAATGAATCGAGGCGAAAATAAGTTATATGCTGATCTTTTGCCATTTTTACATTATTCCCTCCATAACTAGCCTCCAAACTTGCAGATGAATGAGGTGCCTTTAAAATTTGTTTGACTATGTTGTAGGTATTGACAGTGCTACTGAAACTGTGATAATAATGTTGTCTGATTTATAGAGTCATACAGCATAGCCCATCAGTCATCGAGTCATAGGCTCATCATGCCTATGCCAACCAACAAACATCAAACTATGATAATCCCATTTACCTTAACTTGGTCCAAAGCCCTGACGTTTTAACTCCTTGTCCAGATAACACTCATATTTTGCAAAAGTGCCTGCCTCCACCACCACCACCCTCTCAGGCAGTGCATTCCATATGTCTGCCACCCTCTAGGTGAAAAGATTTTTCCTCAGATTCCCTCCAAACCACTGACTCTTCACTTTAAACTTATGCCATCTAGTCTTAGTCAAGTCTGCCATGAGGAAAAGATTCTCACGATCCATCCTATGTATTCCTCTCATAATTTTGTATAGCCCAATCAGATCTCACCTTCGCCGCCTCTGCTCCAGGGAAAACAAACCCAGCTTATCTAGTCACATGTCATAACTGAGACTTTCCATCCCAGGTGACATCCTAGTAAATCTCCTATGCACCCTCTCCAATGTAATCACGTCCTTCTGGTAACGTGGTGACCAGAACTGCACACAGTATTCCATGTGTAGCCTAGCCAATGCTCTATAAAGTTGCAACAAGACTTCCCTGCTCCTATGTTGTATGCCCCAGCTAACGAAGGCAAATATCCCATTTGTCGTCTTCACCATCCTGTCTGTTGTGCTGATACCTTCAGGGTTCTATAGACTTGTACATCGAGGTCCCTTTGTTCCTCAGTACTCCCTAGAGACCTACCATTCGTTGTGTATATTCTTCCCTTATTATTCCTAAAATGCATCACCTCGCACTTATCAGGATTAAATTCCATCTGCTATTGCTCTGATCAATATCAGGCTGGAGCCTGAGACCATCCTCCTCAGTATCAACAACACCCCAATTTTCATGTCATCTGCAAACTTACTAATAATACTTTGTACATTCACATTCAAGTCATTAATATACATAACAAACAGCAGGGGTTCCAGCACTGATCCCTGTGGTGCACCACTAGTCACAGGCTTCCAATCACAAAAATATCTCTCCATCGTCATCCTTTGCCTCCTCTTTGCAAGCCTGTTTATGTAATGTCTGTCCATCATAAGGTGGGGCTGTTCACTGATGTTTCATCAATCAGCTCCATTTGTAATTACTCAGGCAGTGTTGCAATTAGTGCCCTTTGGTAGCATGACCTAGAAAAAATTAAGCAGGAATAACATTTGTGTCACTCTCATACTGGGCAATGGCCATCTTCAACTAGAGGGCACTTGTTGCACATCCCAAATTACCTTTGAGAAAATGGTGGTGAGGCGTCTTTAACTACTGCTTCCTGAGTGATTTAGGTACAGCCACAATTCTGATTGAAGTTCCAGATATTTCACCCAGGGTAATAAAGTGATGATACAGTTCTAAACATGATTTTGTGTGGCTTGGAGGTGATAAGTCATCCTTCTAGGTGGTAGAGGTTTTGGAGGTACCGTCAAAGGAGCTTTGGCAAGTTGCTGCAGTGCATCTTGTATATGTTACACACTGCCAGTGTTTTCCAGGTATGGATCAAGCAGGCTGGTTTGCTCTGGGTGATGTAAAGTACTGAGTGTCGTTGGAGGTGCATTCAACCATGCATCTAGAGAGTATTCCATTACAGTCCTGACACGTGCCTTATAAATGGTAACATAGCTTTGGAGAAATGAGTTATTAGATGCAAAATACTCAGCTTCTTACCTACCCTTTTGGTGCAGTGTTTATGTTAATGTTTTAAGTCAATGGTGGCCTCATGAATGTTAATGTATGGGGATTTACTAATGGAAACTGACTATCAAGGGGAGGTGGTTAGGCTTTCCCTTAATGGGGATGGTCATTGAGGTGTGAATTAGCCATTGGCCCATAACATTAAATGGCATTTTCACAGCCATGTGTCTTTATACTGGGAGTCAGCATTGACTGGAGGCTGAAGTGGACTAGCTACATACATGCCTTTGCCACTTGAAAAGTTATCGGTTGGATATTTGTGATGAGTGAAACGTACCCGGACTCCCCAGAGCCTGTCCCCCTCTACAAAGCATGTGATGGAATATTTTCCATTTGCCTGAATGGTTGCAGCTATGTGAGTTATGACAAAAAAATGTGAGCAATGGGACCTTGCCTTAAGCAAGGTAAGTTGACTGTGAGATTGCTCTAGGCGGGGTGGAGTAACCTGCTTATTTGATGGAATCGCTTAAATACAAAAATAGGATTTTGGCCTTATGACTGCAACCACCAAACCTGAAAATGGATTAAAGAGCTATACGGTGTCATCCACTGGATGGCTCAATGAATTTACACAACAAGCCGGAATTAATGCAGAGTATGAGGTTGCCACATTGTATTACAAATCTGTTTAATTGATCTCAATTGACACAGAGTATCACAGGGAAGTCAGACATAAATTTTAGCTGTGATCACCGTAAATGCTTAGGTGGTGAAGAATATTGAGATGATTTGGCTGTGTACCTCACTTGTTCACAGGGTTAAAAAGAAGGGATTTTGCAGCTAACTGTTGAGAAGAGATACAGACTAAGTAAAACTCCTCAGACTAGATTTTCTGGTGCAGGTCTAATTTATATCTGAATGGCTAGAAACAAGTGAAGAGCTTGTTTGGTTCCTGTCTGTAATAGCTATTGTCATAGCTATTTATAACTTCACATCAAGCTTCATGCATATGCCACTGTTATCTGTCCCTCACTTTAAGGATGACATCAACTTGGGGTTGTCAGTTCCTGCCACAGCTCTCTCTGTGACTGAACAAGTTGATTTTTGATACACAGATCTTTGGGCTTGGATTATACACAGACAGCTCATATCATATTGGGTGTGGTAAATTCCTGTTAAAGTAAAATTTTGAGGAATAAAAAATGAAGCTGCAGAATAGGAGGCCAATGTTGCTTGATCTTGGGAGATGCTCAAAAGATCAACCAATGACAAGCCAAGTCAAAAGAAAAATGAGCCTGATTGGAACTTTACAAGCCAGTAACAATAAACCAGGAATTAATTCTCCTCTTGTCTCCTAAAGTGGGAAAGGGTGCTGTTTAAGATAGTTACAATAAAGCTGGTCTTGTTTACAACTGTAGCTCAATGCAGCAGCATGACTAGAAGGAGTCTGAAACAGCTGCATTGACTTTGCAACAGGTGAAATAGCTCTGAAACAAAAACAGAAATTGCATGGAAAAACTTGACAGGTCTGGCAACATCTGTGGAGAGAAAGCAGAGTTAACATTTTGGGTCCAGTGACCCTTCAGAACTCAGTGAAGACACAAGAGTGGTGGATTTCCTCTATAATGTGTTTCCTCACAGAGAGAGGAAGAAAAATAATCATTTTGGCTTGGCAACAAATCAGTGGCATCTTTTCCTAATGATGTAGTATGTTGCAACATTAATATGCATAATCTCTGGACAGGATACTGTGCCAACAGCGTAATAAAAGATTAATGAGCAACAATGGCCTTGTATTGCTATTTGTAAATGTGCCTGCCTGGTAGGTTGTTATGGGTGTCTGTTTTTGCAGCCAATCTAACTTACAGCCATTATTTCCTGTGTTAGCTCAATGTTAATCTTTTTGTACGCTTCATTTCTTAGAGCTGTATTCAGCAATGCTTTTTACTTTCCCCCTCGAGCAAAGAAAGAAAATTCAAAGAAATGCACAGGAGATCAATCAATCTGAGGAAGGGTCACTGGACCCGAAACGTTAACTCTGTTTTCTCCTCCACAGATGATGCCAGACCTGCTGAGCTTTTCCAGCAACTTTGTTTTTGTTCCTGATTTACAGCATCCGCAGTTCTTTTGGTTTTTATCAATCAATCAGTATTTATAAAGATTGCAGACAAGTTGTGGCATTTTAGATGTGAAGCCTCCATTATGTCTTTGAATGGACTACAGATATTCCACCACTCCCTCCAATATTGTTTGGTAGCCTGTAATTCACATCAAAATACAGACCAAGTAGAGATTGTGGATTAGAGTAGATCTCAGTTAGATAAGTGGCCTGCAAAAGATTTCCTCATGTTAACAAGATCCCTCGCAGCACAGAAAAAAAAACTCAAGGGATATGGGGTAAGTGGCGAGTTGGGTTCAACATTGGCTCGGGGACAGGAAACAAAGGGTAATGATCAATACATGTCTTTTGTGAGTGGCAAACGGTTTCCAGTGGTGTTGGGGCTCGGTGTTGGATCTTTGTCGTTTGTGGCAAATTTTAATTATTTAGACTCCGACGTGGGAGGCATGTTCGGGAAATTTTCTGGGAAGTTGATCGTAAAGAGGATGATTAACAACCGCAAAATGATGTAAATTAATTGTTGTATGGGCAGAAAAGTGGCAAATGGTATTCCATCCGAATAAGGTTTGGGAAGAGTAAACAAAGCAAGGGAATACACAATAAATGGAAGGATATTAAGAAGGGCAAAGGAAGTGGGAATTGTTGGAATGCATGTTCATGAGTCACCAGAGGTGGCAGGACAATTTGTTGGGATAGTAAAGACGTTGTGTTGGAGGCTTTCCTTCATTAGATGAGGTATTAAATGCAAAAACAAGGCTGGAATGCTGAAACTGTAAAAGACACTGGCTAAGCTACAGCTGAAGTTCAGTCTATGTCTTTTTTGTTACCATGTTGCAGGCAGGACGTTATTGTTCTCCAAGAGTACAAAAATATTTGGAAATATTTTGTGACAGCTTAGAAATTGTAGCCAAGATGCAAGATTGGGTAGGCTAGCACTGACTTCCTTGGAACAGAGGAGGCTGATGGGTGTCTTAATTGAGGAGTACAACAGAACGAAGGGCTTGGGTAAAGTGGACAGTGAAGACCAGTTTCCCATAGCAGAGAAGTCTAAGGGGCAAGGGGTAATGACCAAGGGAAATCTAAGAGAGAAGGATTCAAGGGAAAATGAGCAAAAACTTTTTCACCCAGACAGTGGTGCATGTCTGGAATTTGCTGCCCAGTTTGGTGTTTGAGGCAGGAGCCATTGACTCATTTAGATTATTTCTGGATTTGTGCCTGGACTATAGGCCAGGTGCTGGAAAGTGGGTTGAGAATCAGCTAATAGTTTATTCAGCTGGCACAGACATGATGGTCTGAAAGGCCTCTTGCTGAGCTGCCACTTTTCCATGGTTCAATGATACCTTATTCTAGGGCATACTTTTATTCACTTACGTGGGCAAATGTTGAACTGATACAAATTAAGTATATTAAAAATGTGCGGCAATGCTGCCTGTATGAAAGCTATAATGCAGTGGTTAACAAAACTGTTTTAGGACGTGGTTATGCTTATCACATGATATTTTTATAATAACCTTATAGCAGTTAGCGGATTTGACATGTAGCTTTTCCCAAATTTGACTATCAAATTTCAGTAAAGGAAAACCCAAGCAGTTCACTGCTTTAAAAAGCAACAATCTGATAATAATTAAATTGAGAGCGTATAGATTCTTCTGATAACTGCTGACTACTTTGTTGGTATTCTTTCGTACAGCGTAGTACCATGAATATTAACATTTGTTAATTTTCATTAGTTTTTGGTACAATGGAGTGCTATCTAAAATTAATTTCATTTTGGCAGGTAAAACAGTACTGAGTTACTTAATGCTATCAAATTTAAAAATGCATTTAAAACAAGATGTCTTATCTGAAATACTTAGTGATGTTATAGAGCTCTGATGTCATCTTGTAGCAGTTGTAAGCAGGCTGCACTGCCCATTAGAAGTGGATGAGCCACAAATTCTCAAGGTCAAGACAAACCCAAGCCCAAGGCTGTGCTAAAAAAATACACTTTTTTAAACCAAACCCAGATCTAACTTTTCCACTTAATTTACATCTTTTAAAGAAAGACAGGAATATATTGGGGGAGTTTGTTTCCTAAATTTATGAGTATAGTCCTTCACTAAGTGAATATTTTAAACAAAATACAATTGAAGAACTGTGATGCTATTGACTACTTTCCAATCAGCATTATGTGAATGGTGCCATTGAAGACACATTTAAATGAAGGACTGCTGATATTAAAATGTTGTCAATTAAAAGTCTCACCTTGACTATTTAAACAACAAAGCAAAGCTAGCAGAATACTTGCAGTACAAATTAGTTCCCGTCTGTCATTTAAGAAAAGAAAGTTTGATTTCAGTTGAAATACCGTCCAGTGGGTGTACTGCATTGTGTATGGATTCAATTGGGAATGTGTCAAGATTCCCATTCCAGATCATCTTATAATGACTGATGCCAAAAAGGACAAAGATGAGGACAGGACAGTATTTCACTGTAGTATCCCCTACCGCCCTCCTAACCACACCCCAAATGTTGGAGTAAACTGCTAGTATTCTCCAGCTAAACACAAATGTATAGGATGAACACTTGTGTTCTACCAATAGGCTGCCTGTGGAACTGTACTTCAACATGACTCACCAATCAAAGGAAATAAGTCAAAATGTTGAGACAGAAAACAACCTTCTTTCATTTAAGTAGTGTATTTCCCTATCATAAAAACTGTCCAATTGGTTTTGCATTCACACATTATGTGGCTTTGATTGACGTTATGGGAGCAGTCTGAACATATCCAGGACCTGCTCTGTGCAGTAATGAACAGCTGAGTGCCTTTGATCTTTCCTGGATTTTGTATTAAGTTGATAACTGGGTGGGTCGGGCGGTTTATTTTTCAATTTCATCACTTGAAAACCTTCACATATTGCATTGCATGATGCTGTCCATTATTTATAGTCACAAGATATTTGAGGAATGGCAAGCATGGCATTTGGCTGTCAATACTAAGAATTCAGTGTGTGAATTCAGCCCAGATCCGCACCATGGATTTCCTTGTGAATTATTCTGTGCACTAAGCTGAGCAGGATTTGGTGATCATCTGATACTGGTGTGTTTACATAGTGAGCAGATCTTCGTAGGAACAGGAGTAGGCCATTCGGCCCCTCAAGTTTGTTCCACCATTCAAGGAGATCATGGCTGATTTGTGACCTAACTCCATATCTCTTTGAACCATATCCCTTAATACCTTTGATTAACAAAAAAAAACACTATCACAGAATTAAAATTACCAACTGATCCAGCATCCACTGCCATTTGTGGAAGAGAGTTCCAAACTTCCCTTTGTGTGTAGAAGTGCTTCCTAACATCTCTCCTGAATGGTCTGGCCCTAATTCTCAGACTATACCCCCTGTTCTCAAAATCCCCAACCAGTGGAAATAGTTTGTCTTTATCTACCCTATCTTATCTTGTTATTGTCTTGAAGACTTCGATCAGATCACCCCTTAACCTTCTAAATTCGAGAGAAACAGACTTAAATTGTATAACCTGTCCTCAAGACATAACCTCTAAAGTCCAGGTATCATTCTTGTATGCCTTCATTGTATTCCCTCCAAGGCCAATGTATGCTTCCTAAGGTTTGATGCACTGATCTGCTGACAGTACTCGAAGTGGGATCTAACCAGGGTTTTGTATAACTGCAGCATGACTTCTGCATCCTTGTACTCCTGACGTCGAGCTATCGAGGCCAGCATTCCATTAGCTTCTTGATCATTTTTTTTGTATGTTTTTGACATCTATGCACCTGAACCCCAAGACTCTTTGGACAGCCACTCTATTTAACTTCATGCCATCCAGAAAGTACCCTGATCTGATTTTTCACTCTAAAATGGATAATCTCATATTTCCTTACGTTAAACTCCATCTGCCACAGATTTGCCCATTCACTGAGTGCATCAATACACCCATGTCTACAATACCACCTAACATTGTGTCATCAGCAAATTTGGATATATGACTTTCTATGCCATTATCCAAGTCATTAACAAATAATGTGAATAATTGAGGCCCTAACACAGATCCTTGTGTGACACCACTGGTCAAATCCAGCCACTTTGAGCTGATTTTTGTTTCCAATCAGTAAAGCTACTTTGTCTCCTCTGCCATTTTCTCTATCGTCCTGTAAACACTCTATCCTGGTATATTTAGTCCCCTGTCCCAAACATCCTGCAGTCATATCTCAGTATTGGCTACTATCATCTCTAATTAGATTTTGTGCCTACAGCTCATTTAATTGATTCCTTACACTCCATGCATTTGTAGGTCGAACTGTTATTGGGGACATATACTGTAACTTTTGCCTCATGCTTTATTCACCTGTTTATTTCTCTCTTCCGGTTTAACCAATGCATTTCTGATAGTTTTGCTGTTACCTGTCGTATCTGAAGTAGGATTCCGGACTCTTTCTCTGCTGTCTATCATGTTACTTATTTTGAAACTGTATTGACTTTCCTGAGCCCTGCCTCCCATTTCCCAGTTTAAAGTCCCTGTGCCCACCCTATTTAGCCTTTCCACTAGGACATGATCCCAGATGAGTTCAGATGGAGCCCATCCCAACAGTACCATTCCCAAGGCCCTGTTTTGTTGGCACAGCTTCCAATACAATAGCTGACCTATTCCTGACATGGGGTCTCAAGAATCTTTGGCTATTGTCTCCATTTCTCCACAAAGCCTTGGTGACTGGATGTGGTGAATACTAACAATATTGTAGGTCTACAGTTTCCGAGGCTACTCATTGGCTTTTTATTGTGAAACCAAAGTGCAGAGGAAGGAACAATGTCAGTCTTTAAAACTGTATCAAATCCATCAGGCTGAATCAGTATGTAATACCATTTCTTCTTCTTCTAAATATCCATTGATTTTAGGAAGGATAGAAACTGAAAGAGATGGTGCAGTTCCATGGTTTCAGAGGCTGATAAAGAGTTAGCTAAATTTGAAAATGGTGAAATTGGGCAATTTCAGTGCAGTTAAGAATACAGTGAGGAGAAGACCAAATAGGATTGTTGACTTATATAAACTTAGATCTATTGTGTGTGTATGTAATGTGCATATTAACTAGAATAGTGTTTGACTTTAACAATATTTTCTCTTTAGAGAAAACATATTCCATTCTCTCTGCAGTCCAAAACCCCCACAAATGATTCTAATTTGACTAGTTCTGTTGTTGGCTGCAGATTAAGTCTTTTGTGAAGAGATTTAAATTCTGCATATGTGGAAAAATAATTATAATATCCATGTAATACAATATATTCCAAGACTCAGTAAAGCTGGTATGATAACATAAGCAGGATTGTTATTACACTCTAATTTTAAGTATTATTTACCAGTTTCTCTTAAATGATTGTAAGGGTTTTAGTTTTGTTGTGGTAACAAATGGAGCAACAAGAATTGGGGACAACAAACTTCCTTGTTGTCTTTAGAATGTAAAGCTTGTGGGAAACCTCAAGAAATGTCCAAATATAATCTTGCCAATTCTACATTATAA